GCCTGAACCCAGGAGGCGGAGGTTGCGGTGAGCCGAGATCGCGCCATTGCACTCCAGCCTGGGTAACATGAGTGAAACTCCGTCTAAAAAAAAAAGAAAAAACAAACAAACAAACAAAAAAAACTGTGTGTGACCCCAGTGATGCCACTAGAGAATCACTCACTCTTAGGCACGAAGGGGCCTTTCCCTGCAGGGTTATCTGTGACCCAAAGACAAACAACTCTATGTGGCTGGGGGTGGGCATAATAAAACACACTGTGGCGTGTCCATGCTCTGCAGTACCACACAGCAGATAAATAATTGGGTACAGCATGTTCTAATGTGGAAAATCCTCCAAGATGTGCTGTTGTTCTGTGAAATAAAGCAGAGCAATACACATGGCATGATAACTTTATATAAACCACAAGCACACAGGCACTTATAAGTGTAGAGAAAGGAGACAGAATGTTCTAGAAGGATATATGCCAAACTAGCAGGGAAACAGGAAGGGGACCAGGATGGGGGGTAGTGATCAAAAAAGACTTTTACCTTAGCTTTAATTGTTTTTTTAAGAATACAATTTTTAATAATTACAATAATACAAAGGACTTCCCAAGACCCCCTCTTTGTCCCTGCTGGGCCACCATACTTTGGTGGAGCCCAATCCTTCCTTTGGAGGCTGGAGCCCACCACCCCTCTTGGCCCCTTTTAGTCGGCAGAGTGTGCCCCTCTGCCATGATTTCCTTTGAGACTCTTTTCCCAACATACCCCCTGAGGCAGCCCTGGGCTGAGGGAGACCTGCTTCCTTCCTCCCAGTTTCTGTGCTCCCAGAATCCTCACCTCCCAGTCTGGCCAGGCCCCATCTGTGGGGAGAGAGGCCCAGATCCATGACCTCCTCCTTCAGACCCGGGGCAGGGTGAGGGGCACCAGCTGGTCAGCCCATGGGCCTGTTTCACAGCCACTACTCCAAGCTGACTTCTAGGTGGTTGAAAAAGATGGTGGAGCCACTTCCCCACCCTACCATGTAGGAAGAGAGGGGCCAGTCCACCCAGTTCACAGCATGGAGGAAGGGACAGCACACACAGTTTTTTTTTTTTTGTTTTTTTTTTTT